ACAATTCTGTTGAAGATCTGGTCCATGCCATTATCTTGGGATTCTTCTCCTTCCTGTATGCTTATGATTTGTATATTTGATCTTTTTATGGTGTCACACAATACCTGCATATTCCATTCTCGTGCTTTCTTAAATTTTTCATAATCTTTGCTTGAGTGGTCTAGTTCATCCACTTTATCTTCCAGTCTTGATACTCTGTTTTCCATTTCTCTCATCCTATTGGTGAGGTTTTCTCCTGTCGGTTCTAATTGGCTTACTGAGTGTTTCACTTCCTTCTTCATTTCAGCCTGAGTAGTCTTCAATATTTCTAGTTCTTTTCTGAATTCATTCAGAAGTTTATCCCTATCTTCCTTCAGTTCTTTGATTTCCTTTTTTGTGTGTTCTTTAAATTCACTGAATTCTTTGATCATGTTTATGATTGTTCTTTTGAGTTCCATGTCCTGCATTATGTCTAGGTGGTTCTCATTGTATTCCTCTAGAGGACTATTGGTATTTAGTGGGGCTCTGTTATTTTGGTTTTTCATGTTATTATTTTTTTCTCTGTGATTTTGACATGTGAATTTCTTTTGTAGTTTCTGACTCTTGTGTGATACTCAGGCCTTCAAGTTTAGTTCTGCTTCTTTTTTTGAACTTTATGTGTCTTTGTGGTTTACTTTTTAGGCATGAAAAGCTGGTTGTCTAAGCTTCCGGTTCTCTCTTTTGATTTTATATTAGAGTGGCCAGATTGCTTTTGTCTTCAGGAGTTCCCACAGAGGCCCAAGTCAGATGAGGATCAGATGCTCTCAGGCTTTCTCCTAAGGTCTGGATCCCTCCAGGAAAGGTTTTGGCCTCAGTAATTTGTGGGTTGGATTGGCCTGGGAGCCCGGCCCAGGAAAGATGCTGGTGTAGGGAAGCTGGTGGCCACACCACCCAGAGATGCAAAAGCAGATGGGGGCAGAAGTGGCTCCAAGGACTCCTGGGGACTGTAATAAAGAGCTGGGTTGGTCTGGATGTAAAGGATCAGGAAGAGAAAAGGTCAGCCCTTGCCTCCCAGAAAGAGGCTGGCAGGGTGGTGCAGGCCCAGGGAAGCAGAGGGAGGTGAGGGCGTGGCCAGGCCCAGAAGCAGTGCTTCTGGGGACCAGAGAAGGCATTGAGTTGGTCTGGATGAAGAGGATCAGGAAGCAGTAGTGGTTCCCCAGGTTTCTGGGGTCCCAAGACAAGGAATGGGACAGGACCCAGGCTAGGAGGAGAGACCGGGCCAGGGAGATGGGAGGGTGAATTTGGGTGGCTGGAGGAGTCAAGGCCCGCCGGGTACAAAGGACTTACCCTGGAGAAAGGCCTGCCAGTCTTGCAGGCCCAGGGAAGCAGAGGGAGGTGAGGGCAGGGCCAGGCCCAGAATCAGTGCTCCTGGGGACCAGAGAAGGCACTGAGTTGGTCTAGATGAAAACGATCAGGAAGCATTAGTGGTTCCCCAGGTGTCTGGGGCCCCAAGACAAGGAATGGGACAGGACCCAAACTAGGAGGAGAGATCAGCAGGGGAGATGGGAGGGTGAATGAGGCTGGGGGAGTCAAGGGGTGGAGGGCGCAATGGACTTACCCCGGAGAGAGGCCTGTGGGTCAGCGCATTCTTTTTTTTTAAAAAAGATTTATTGATTCAAGAATTCCATACAATGTAGTTTGATTTTATTCAAACCCCCTTCTGCCCTGCACTTACCACTTCATGTCCTCTATTATTATGTCTTTTTATAAAGGCCTATGGAAAGCTGGGCACTGTGGCATACACCTTTGGTGGAGAATTAAAAAGGCCAAAACAGACAAACAAAAAAACAAAACCAACCAACCAAACAAACAAACAAAAAAGGCTCATGGAGTCCAATCTGAGTTTCCTAAATGCTCTTGAGTGTGGGTCTGCCCTTGCAGTCTGGTCAACATACCAGGTATCATACCAGTAGGGAAAACTGATTCTTCCTCTCCAAGTATTTATCAATTTCCAATAGATCCTCAGCTAAGGCTGGGGCCTTCTGCCTACCTTCCCTATCCATGCTGGGCCCCTCTCTGGCTTGGGTTTGCAGAGATCTTATGTGTGCTATCACAAGTGCTGTGGGTTCATATGTGCAACTAACCTATGGTATCTAGCCAACATAGTTTTCTTGAATTCATCTACAACCTCTAACTCTTACAGTCATTCCTTCCTCTCTTCCACAATTATCCTTGAGTCTTGGGAGGAGAGGGTATGATATAGGTGCCCCATTTAGGGTTGAGCACTCTACAGTCTCTTATTCTCTGCACATTGACTAGTTGTGGGTCTCTGTGTTAATCCCCATCTGTTGCAAGAAGAACCTTTTCTGGTGAGAGTTGAGGAATGTGCAAATCTACGGGTATAACAATAAGTCATTAGGTGTCAGCTTAATACTATGTCTTTTTAACAGAATAATAGTAGTATGTTCTCTCCTATGGCATGTGACCTGTCTAGCCACAGGTTCTTGGCCCTGGTAACATTGTCAGGTATGGACTCCATCTTGTGTAGCAGGCCTTACATCCAATTAGAAGGTGATCGGTTACTTCCATAACATTTATGCCACTATTGCACCATAGGCATATTTTGCGAAGCCAGTTGTTATTGTAACTTTCAGGGCTCATAACTAGCTTTTCTCTGCCAGCAACATGCATAGTACCTTCTAGTACTACAAAAGTTTTCCAGAAGAGATGATGCTTCGAGGTCAGTAGCAGCTTGATTCCTCCTTGTTTATTCTGTAGCTCAAGTATGTAGTGTTTTGGCAATACATCTTACCATCAAGTTCTGGTGGGTAACCAAGTGCTGTGGTAATATCCAGTATTGGTTGAGGGTCTATGGGATTTCTCTGGTCAACAACTCCAAAAAAGGGAGTTCATTCCTGGCATTGGGCTGTTCATTTGCTACCCTGTTATGTTATATTGAACCCCTATTATAGGGTAACTACATTTAAAGTCTTTTTATATTATCTGTGTATTTATTGAAAGAAGCTTCTATAGTAGGTTTCCATGTGACTCTTTCAAAAGGCCTTTACACTTAGTTATTCCTCCTCTTACTCCCTGTCCTGCCCTACCCTCCAATTCCCTACCCCATTAAACTCATCATATCTGTTATTCCCCTATATATTTATATACAGAGATTTCTTTATTTTGGGGTTTCTTAGGCTTTTTTGCTGAGTAGCTGCTTGAAGAAGATGGTCTCAGAGAAGATGGCAAAGCTAGATGCAGAGAATCCAGAAATGGTAAGTGCTCTGAGGTCTTCCTGTGAATGTGCAACAATTGTAGCCCAAACTATACCATCCGAAGTCCCAGGGTCTACCAGTCTTGTTCTCCATGGAGGCAGCCACAGCTCCCAGTGGCTCTGACTTTTTACTGGAATTGTTGGGTGAAAGCCTGGGTCCTGGCAGCAACAACAAGCCAGGCAAGGCTACCTGTCCCCAGTACTCTGATTAAACAGAGAAGTAATAGTGAAAGGCAAAGAAAGTAGATTTATTTAGTGTGGTTCCACTGGGAAAAGGAGCAAAGATGTCCAGCGGCCTCCCCATCAAATCCATCTTCAGGATCTTGACATGAGGTTCAGTTTTAAATAGAGGGCAAGAGTAACTAACCAGCCTGATCAATGTGTGGTTCCACCAATCATTGATTCAGCTTTGACTCAGCTCCAGTTTTGCCTGCAAGGTAGTCTGACAAGTTGTCAGACTGTGTGAAATCTCTTTTCTGGAGGTTGCATTTCTCCTCTGTCTGGCACCATGCTCCAACCTTTTCCTTCTCCCATTATGAGCTTCTTGAGGAAATTCCAATTTCTTGGGGTCTATTGTTTGAACTGAATGATAGCCAAAGGGAGAGGCACAAGTGTCAGGATAGTTAAAATGTCTGGTGCTCAGTGGGCAGGGTGGGAGGGAGTCTTTTCTTTCTTTTTTCTTTTTTGTCTTTTTGAGACAGGGTCTCCCTGTGCCCAAGCTGGCCTGGAACTCACTATGTAGTCTAGGCTGGCCTTGATCTCACAGAGATCCACCTGCCTCTGCCTCCTGCCGTTGCCAGCTGGCCAAGACGGACAGTACCTGAAAGGGGGAGTGAGGATTGAAAGAAAAATCAAGAGACAGAGAAAAGATACTTAGGAGGACTGTCAGTAGAGACTGCAGCCCCAGTTTATTTTAGCTCCACCTTTTTATACAGTAGTACATCAGATAGCCACTGTTTGCTTAACTCAGCTTCAACAGCTATTTTTCCCACCTGTATCTGAGGGTCAAGGAGCAGTCAAATACTTGTTGTGAACTCCACCATATAAACACATTCCTCCTGACTTGGCAGATTAGGTACTGGTGTGCAAAACACAAACGCTAAACAAGCAAGCCTGCCACAGCTCAATGTACATAATGGCTGCGCTTATATCAATAGCTCCCAACAGCCTCCCAAGAGCCGGATTTAAAGGTGTGCACAACCATCCCCAGCAGGAGTCTTTTCTTTAGCCTTCAAGCTGTGTCTCCAATGAGAAGTCTTCTATGGATTACTGAGAACTTGAACTTGGAAGCCAAATGGAGGCTTTCCAACTGGTAGTAAAATCTACATCAGAAAGTTAGGATTAAAAAAAAAAATCTTTGACAGTTTCAATCATGTGTACAATGTATTTTGATCACATCCATTCCAATTACCCCCTGCCACTTCCCCTAGGCATCCCACTGTCACTTTCTCCCCTCTTCCTCCTCCTCCTCCTCCTCCTCCCCTTCTGCTTAAATAAGCCACCAAGTCCAATCATTGCTGCCTGCAGGCACATGAGTGTGGGACCACAGAAGCATGGGCAATCTACTGTCAGCCAAATCTCTGAAGAAAAATGTCTCCTCCTCTCTCAGCAGCTATCAGTTGCCAATAGCTCCTCAGTTAATGGTGGGTCTTCATGAGCTCCTCCCCCATCCAAGCTGACTGGCTTGATCTTGTGCAGGTAACCACATCTTCTGTGAGTTCATGAGTGCAATACCTAGGTCATGTCAAGAAGACAGTATTTCTCAGTCTTTCTCCCCATCCTTTAGCTCTTACATTCTTCCTGACCTCCCCTTCCATGGTATTCCCTAAACCTTGGGGTGGGGGTTGTTATAAATGTCTCATTTAGAGCTGAACACTCAACAAGTCACTTATTCTCAGCACTTTGACCAATTATGAGTCTTTGCATTGACCACTGCCCACTGCAAAATGAACCTCCTATGGCCAAAGTTGAGAACAGCATTAATGTATGGATATAAACATAAATATTTAAAATACAGTTTGACAACCTGCCCATTTAGCAGAACAATAGTAGTAGCTCCCCTCTAGGGTCTATGACCACCCAAGCCATGAACTTTTGACCCTGAATTCCCTCCTGTAGGGAAGTCCTCAAATCCAACCAGAAAGCAGTCGGTTACTCCCATAGCCTCCGTGCCACCGTTACACCATTGGGCACATCTTGCTTGGCAGATCAGTATTACAGCATACAGAGTCAGTATTGCAGCATGCAGAGTCTACTGCTGGGCAAGTCCATTGGTGACTTTTCTCCCCCCGCTAGCAGCACAGCACCTTCTGACACTATGAAGTAACCAGCAGGGAGGAAGTTTTCAGATCAGTTCTGGCTTAATTTCTCTGTCTTGCAGTTGAAGTATGTTGTGTCTTCAACAATAAGGTCTTACCATCTGGCTATGTTGAGCACCCAAGAGTGAGGGTGATAGCTTATGTTGTTTTATTTTGGGGGCCTCTCTGACTAATAACTTCTAGGAATGTATCCTATGCCTGGCATTGAGATTTTCATTTAATAGTCCATGTCTTCGAGGGAAGCACTGTCCACCCATGCAGGATATCTCTACTCAAATGCCCCCCCTTTCCCTTTGAATTATATTTTTAAATTAGTATATAAAGTAGTGGCTTTCCATAAGGTTTTTCATACATTCTTAATTTCGTTAATCCACCCCCCAAAATACCTGCTCAAACTTTTGACCCTCAGTAGTCTCCCTCTACTCTTGTATCACACATGTTTACCATCCACCCCCAGGCTGCTTCTCCTCCCTCTCTTATGGTGAAAGGCAGGATTTTGAGGCAGACCTTTTAACACAGTGGGGATGATCTTCAACAAGCTCTAGAATCTTCTCTAGAAAGCCTCATGATACTTCCTGTGTACCAAATAAAAAGCCACCAAGTGAAAGAAACTCTCAGGGAAATTATTCCTTTCACAATCTAAAATTAACTTTATTTTTCTAGTCTGTGTGTATTCATTGAAGGCCTAGTAATTAACTTAAAGGGTTGATGGGCAAGAGATAAAGCAAAGAAAAAAAAAAAACAAAGCCCTTTGATTTTAGACTTTCCTGGTCATCTTTATCATAAAAGCTTGTCTCAGATAAGACCATACAACAGTTTGATTGACATTTGTATTGGGTAAATTTAATATTTTTGCAGACTATTACACTGATCTTTAAAATTACAGAAGAAAACATCTGGAAACATTTCCTAATCTTTTTTTATTTAAATTTAGTCCTTTAGAAGAGGATGATGAATAGCATCTTGAGTTCAACATGAATCTTTACAGCTTTTTTCCTAAGAAAATAGTTGTTCTTTGGACTTGATCTCTTTCTTCTGGAACTGAAAATATCTTTTCAGGGAAAATAAATTCACTGCCTCTTGGTGACTGAACACTTAAAAACATACTGGAGAGTATTCAATGGAGGAGACTCTTTTTAAAGAGTAATAAAATCCAGTCTCTTAGGCTTTGTTAGTATATATGTATAAGAAGGAAGAAAAGGGTAATTAACTGAAGTGGCCTTGTTAAAAAGAGAGAAGTACCCTCAAATGTGGGACTTGAAGCAGAAGCCACTTGATACAGGAAACAGTTGGACAATGACTAGCTAAGGAGCCTGCTCAATAGCATGGAGAAGGTAATGATCTATTTAAAGTGCTCACGGAAACAACCCGGCCACATTCCTATCTTTGCACACCATTTGAAACTCACCATTTATTTTTAAACAAATTTATTTATTTATTATCAATGATATTATTTCCTATCAGTGAATAACAGCAAGAGCAGCAGCACATTAGCCAACACTGTGAATTGCTTCATCAAAATTTTCAATTTCCACAAATTACTGCATTTATTTGTTTATTTATTATTTATTTATTTAATTTATTTATTTACTTATTTATTTGTGACTTCTTTTGGTTCCCGAAAAGAAAAAGTAAAACTCTTTTCCCTTGAAAACTGCCTTCTGGGACAGAACACATTTCAAGCTGGAACTTTCTCCACCAAGCCCTGAATAGAGGCCTCACTCCCCACACCACCATCCCCCAAAGAGAAAAAAAAAACTAGCTCTAGATTAGCCCTTTGAACTCTGAAGCTCGGCACTAGGCCTCTTCACAGGGTCAGTGAACTAAAATCATTTTGTGACTTAAAGTAGCCATATAAATGTCAAACTGTCCAAAGGTAACATTGTGGTTGCCTAGAGGCAAATGCATTTGGAAGTGACATATGTCATATAGAGAACTTCGTGTGTGCCAAGGCATGGAGGTCTCTGTTTGGTAAGGCAGAGTCTAACTCCAAAGTTTGCTTTGTTATTTTTATTTTATATGTATAAGTGTATTACCTGCATGTATGTAAGTACACCTGTTTTCCTAGTTTGTTCTTCATTGCTGTGATGAAACACTCTGACCACTACCAACTTGGGGAGGAAAGGGTTTATTTATCTTACATCTCCTGGGTCACAGTTCATCAGGGAGCCCAAGGTAGGAACTCAGGGCAGGAACCTGGAGGCAGGAGGTGGAGCACAGACCATGGAGGAACACTGCTTACTGGTTTGCTCCCCTGGCCCCTACTCAGCCTGCTTAACACAGGCTCACCTGCCCAGGGATGGCACCACCCACAGTGGGCTGGGCCCTCCCACATCACTCATCAAGAAGATGCCCCTCAGACCACAGACCACAGGCCAGTCCAATAGAGGCAATTCCCCAACTGAGGCTCCCTCAACCCAGGTGCGTCAAGTTGACACTAAAGCTATCCAGCACACCTGTGTTGTGCAATGGCCTATGGAGGTCAGAAAAGGGTGTTAGATTCCCCTGGAACTGGAGTAATGGATGGTTATTAGCTGCCATGTGGGTGGCTGGGAACTGAACCTGGGTCCTTTGCAAGAGCAGCCAGTGCTCTTAACCACTGAGCCATCTCTCCAGCCTCCTGACTCCAAAGTTTTCATAATGTTGAAGAATCTGAGGCAAGAGGGAGAATCTAAGGAAACTA